ATGATCATCACCATGATCATCACCATCATCACCATCACCATGATCACCACCATGATCATCACCATCATCATCCTCATCACCATCATCACCATCACTGTCACCACCATCATCGCCATCATTATCATCACTGTAATACTTATTGAGGCCTTACTCTGGGCCAGATTCTATTGTAAAGGGCTTTCCCTGTGTCAGCACTTTTAACCCTCACACCAACCCTATAAGATAGAAACTTAAAAAAAAAGTCCCTATCATATAATTGGCAAAGCTGAGGCAAACAGGAGTTAGTAACTTGCTCAAAGTCAGACAGCCAGCAAGTAGTTAAGCTGAGATTCAAGCCCGAGCAGTCCATTCCAGAGCTCTTAATGTTAGAAACTGAATGTACCCGTCACTGTGCCCTATTACCTTTAGTCCTATACAAACATGCCAAGTAGGACAGAGGTTTCCATGGCGTGATCAAGGCTACAAAATCGGCAAGCAGGAGAAGCAAAAATTCAGACCCTCCAATATGCTGGGGCCTGGCATCAGAGGTTTTGTTCCTTGATAAAGAAATGCCAGGTCTGAAGGAAGGCAGAGACTGGATGGTGAGGGAGGCTGGAGGAGCAGCCCTAGAATCATCCTGTATAGGCAGTCACCTCCTCTGCACCTGCTGAGCAATTGCTAGCTGGTAACTCCAAGGTGCTGGCCTTTCCAAATAAGCAGGGCTTCTGGTTTCTGGGGCCAAGAGAGTAGCCTTCGCTAGAGCTCCATCTCCGACCTGGTTGCAGCCAAGAGCTGGGGCAATCCCCATTCATGACCTTCACAGCCCCTCCAGACATTTCAGAGAAACTGGGCTGTTTTGTGGGTTCAGGGAGATCCTAAGCCTATGGTGATGGAACTCCTTCTGATTTTCAGCTGTGAGGCATGCACTCCCAGTCTGTGCTTCTGCCTTGGCTGTTGAATGTCATGGAGTAAGGGCTACCTTTGAATACTGGATCTGCCACCTCTTGTCTGGGTGACACTGGGCACATTACTTAACCTTTCAGAGCCTCAGTTGCCCCGTCTGTAAAATGGGAATAGTGATGCCTACTTCCAGGGACGTTGTAAGGAAGGACAGGGTTGTCAACAAAGCACCGGCCAGCACGGTGCCCGACACACAGGACATGTCTGATGGATGCTGGACGAATTGCTATCATTGCTCCAGGAGCACCCTCCTTCCCCTCCAAGAAGGCAACAGCCCAGGTCTCCCTCGTGTTAAGAAGAGGCTGCTCCTCGTCCCCTGCAGACCCTGCCTGCGTGGTGCTGACTAATTGCGGACCACCTTCTGGGCGTAGGAGAGCTGGTTGTAGGTTGCCATGCTTGCTGCCTCGTTGGTGCAGGCCTCTCTGGCTTTGTCAAAGGTTAGCTTGTACTGGCCCAGTGGGGAGCGGAGATGGAACACTCCGACGGTGGTATCTAGAAGGGAAAAGAGAGCAATCGTCCAGGTCAGCCCGGCTGGTTGGCAGGGCTCCTGGCAAAGGACTGGCAAAGCAGAAGACGAGCTATATTCCAGGGTGCGAACCATTTCCCTTCAAGGTATGTTGAAGCACATCATTTAAAATATTTACTTCTTTTCTCATTATAAGAACAGCACATTTCATTGTAGAAATTTGGGCAACCCATCCAAGTAAGAAAAGAAATAAACAAAAATCACCTATAATCGTACTCCCTGGAAATAATCATTACTCCAGGGCTAACATTTTGGCGTACTTCCCCTAAAGAATTTTTACTTTCTTTTTTGGTAACTTTTTATTATGATATAATTTCATACTCTTCTAGTCTTTTTACCTCTTCCTTTAAATGTCACATACATTACAAATGTGGCAACATCTTGCATATAGAGTTTTTAGAAATCTTCTTTTAAACTTAACATTGAATCATGATTATTCCCCCATATTATAAATTTTCTCCAGCAACAGGATTTCCCCCTCACTACTTATAATTGAATAGTTTTTGTGAACTTTACAGCCATGAAAAAATACTTTAAAGGGAGTTTTCGCCAAAGACTGTATGTTTTCTGATCGCCACTATGCCCTTAAAAAAGTTTTCTAGCCATTTCTCCCCTAAGATACTGAAAGATTTATCATTTTTTCCTGGCTGAAATCTTTTTTAGCTAGATAACTGAAAGCAGAGACCAGAGACAGTTCAAGAACTGAGTTACATTTTTACATTGTCAAGTTCATTACCAAATGCCACTAAAAGGTCACTTTCTACACCAAAAAAGAGCTAAGCTCAAGATCTTTGACCATAGTCCAGTAGAATATTCCACAGGTTGTAGGATCCTGTCAGCCCTATCTAAAATGCAAACACTTACCAGCATAACAGTTTGGGGAAGGATGGATAGATGTTTTTCTTTGTCTTCTTGCTAAGGCAACATGATTCTTAATCGTGCATTTGAGTGGATGTGTAACAGTACATTTGATCATCCTTGACTGTTAGATATGTGTTATTTATAATCTTTTATGACACAAAGTAATGCTGGGATGGTATGTTTATCTTTACTCCCTTCTTAGATTGTGTGTCTATTGGATGGGTTCCTTGAAATGGAGCTACCAAGTCTCGGCGTGAATTATTTTATGGCTCTCAGCACACATGGTTAAACTGGTTGCCATAAAGGCTGCACCAGTTTGCCTTCCTCTGAACTGTAAGAGTAGGCATGTCCTCCTGAGTGTGGGTTGGCTCTGTATCCATGCCCACAGGGAAAGCTGGGGTCTTATCCCAATGCCATACTGTCTTGCTAAGGGTAACCACTCAGCTTCAACAGAAGGTGGGTTCAGTTATGATGCTCAGTCACTTAGTAAAACTCCCAACACTTTCTTAGCATTCATGAGACAGCAGAAGAGAAAAGCTCCCCCGGAAAAGAAGAGCCAAATAGATTTCCCCTTGTGAGTCAGCTGTGGGAACAGGCAGGACTGGCTGATGGACCGTGCCCTAATGAAAAAAGCCAAGCACTTTCTTGACTTCACACTCTTTGAGGTAAATGACTCACAGATCAACGTCCCTGGTCCCAGCTGCTCATTTCAGCCCCCATCCTAAATAGCAACTGCCTATAGAATCCCTCTGCTTGGTAGCCTCACCTTGAACATAGAATGTCCCCAACCAAGCTTTCAAATGTTGCGCCATATTCCCTCCCATCTGCTTTAACCCAACCACCATGGGGTTTGCTCTCTTGAGATAGAAAGAGAGCACCACCCTCTCTGCCCATAGGGGTGCCCTGGGCTCACCCTTCTTCCTAGTTGAGACCCTGTTACCTTGAGGTCTTTGGCTTGACATCTTTTGAGTCTCCACCATAGTCCCAGGCCTCTATTAGGTTTCTCTAATGATTCCCTCTCTCATCTTACCCAGAGATCTTTCCCATCTCTGACTATTCTTCAAAATATTTTTTACAGTGGTAAATATACATAACATACAATTTACTTTTTTGACCATCTTAAGGGTACAATTCAGTGGTGTTAAGTAGATTTACAAGTTATGCAACCATCACCACTATCCATTTCTAGAATGTTTCCATCATTCCAAACAGAAATGTGGTCACCGGGGCGCCTGGGTGGCTCAGTCGTTAAGCGTCTGCCTTCGGCTCAGGTCATGATCCCGGGGTCCTGGGATCGAGCCCCACATCGGGCTCTCTGCTTGGCCGGCAGCCTGCTTCTCCCTCTCCCACTCCCCCTGCTTGTGTTCCCTCTCTAGCTGTCTCTCTCTGTCTCTGTCAAATAAATAAAATAAAATATTTAAAAAAAAAAAAAGAAATGTGGTCACCATCAAATCGTGACTCTCCATCCCCCTTCCCACAGCCCCTGGTAATCTCTATTCTACTTTCTGTCTCTATGAGTTTGCCTGTTATAGATCCCTTGCATATGTCCACAATATTTGTCCTGTGGTGTCTGGTTTATTTCACATGGCATAATGTTTTCAAGTTTCACTCATGTTACAGCACATGCCAGAGTTTCCTTCTTTTCCAGGACCAGATAATATCCCACCACAGGGATAGGCTACAGTGTATTTATCCATTCATTTGTTGATGGACACTAGGGTTGTTTCCATCTTTCGGTGGAACATGGGTGTACACGTATCTGTTCGAGTCCCTGCTTTCAGTTTTTTTCTATTCTTGCTCTCTCTCATTTCAGTTGAACCATCAGCACGAGATAAACTGCTGTCTTCTGTTTTGTGACTTGCTTTTCCTTGTCTTCTCAGTTTAAAAAATTTCTTCAGCTACACTGGGAATCCCCTTGCAAGGAGACAATGTCATATATCCTGTGTATTTTCCTTGCTTATGCTTCTTCTATCTCATCCCCAAAAGGGATTTGAGGTGTCTTAGGATTTTGTTCATGTTATGGACTGCATGTTTGTGTCCCCCCAGATTCATAGGTTGAAATGTTAACTCCGAATGTGTTGGTATTAGGAGGTGGGTCCATTGGGAGGTAATTAGGTCATGAGGGGAAAGCCCTCTTGCATGGGGTTAGTGTGTGTGTGTGTATGTGTGTGTGTGTGTGTGTGTGTGTGTATTTTTAAAGTAATCTCTACACCCAACATGGGGCTCAAACTCACAACCCCAAGATCAAGAGTCGCATGCTCTACTGACCGAGCCAGCCACACGTCCCAGATTAGTGCCCTTATAAAAGGGACCCCAGAGAGCTTCCTAGCCCCTTCTGCATGTGAGGACACAAGAAGACAGCAGTCTGAACCTGGAAGAGGGCCCTCCCTAGAAGCAGACCATGCTGGCACCCTGATCTTGGGACTTCCAGACTCCAGAATGGCGAGAAACACATTTCTGTTTTTAAGCCACCCAGTCGATGGTAGCAATCCAAGACAGTACGTAACAGGTGTTAACTCAATAGTTATTATTGAGATATGTAAAAACTGCCTCACTAGAATTACCATGTCTCTAAAAGAACCCCATACCAGTCAGAGACATGCAATAAACCCTGATCGGCCATAGCACGTAATGCCCCAAGTCACTCTCTGAACCCCTGCAGTCCCTCCCTGCCCTGGCTCAGAATGACGTCCCTGGGTCCTTCGTGGATTTCCTCCATGAGGTTTCAAGATGCCCTATCACCTGCACCTCTGCACGTCCCATTTGGCTTTCTACTTTGTTGTGTGTTGTGATTCCTAGTTTTATGACCCCTGTGGGTTCATTACAAGCCATTCAGATCAGCCTTGGAGGAGAATGCCCTACCTGCCGATCAAGTTGTATTATCAAAACAACTGCTGAGAAGTTGCATCTACACATGGCAGGTGCTTCCTCTTTCTTATTTAAGCCCTAAACTATGCTCCTTAGATTCAGTTCCAATCGATGGTTGCTAAGCAACTTGGGGAAAGCATGTATCAGGAAAATTCACGACGGATGACCTTTGTGCTCCCTCCTGGTTCTAAGACTCCGGGTCCAGATGCGAGTGATTCCAGTCCTCTGCCACCGAAGCCCGCTCCCCCCTGGGCACTGGGTCCTGGGCAACGCGCGGGCTATTTGGCCCGGTTTTTAATTCTGTTCCCGTTCGCTCTCGCACGAGTCCCTTCCCCAAGCCTGAAGGCAGCCCCCAGCCACACTGACCTTGGAAGTGGAGGTCGGCGCAGTTGGCATCGGCGTGGCACTGCCCGTTGTCCTGCAAACAGCGGTCGATGGGCCGCTGCTCCGGCTCACAGTCCATCCCGTCTCCCACGTAATGACTTTTACATTCACACTTGTGCTTGCCCTGTGGGGAGAGCCGAAAAGATGAGAAGCCCCTTTTCTAGGACCCCAGGACCCCTATGTGCTCTGCGGGCCCCCATCCAGTACGGGAGATGCTCAGAAGCACCAGGAAAATGCCTCGCCTGTAAATAGTGGCAATTAAGTCACGGCCACGTCTCATGTTTGTACAGGCTCATGACGAAATGTCATCTCAGCTCAAATGTCCTTTCCTCGGAGAGAGAGTCCTGACCCATTAAATAAAGCAATTCTCCCCGTCCCTTCTATCACACTGGCCTAATTTATGTTCTTCCTGACTCTTGGGGCTTTCTGGAAGTATCTCCTGCACCTGTTCCTGCACAGAGCATTGCCCCTCTCCCCACACGTTTCAATGCTACGTCCCTGGGCCCGACAACAGTACATAGTAGGTGCCTGATGACCTCTTGCCGAATCAATGAATGATCTCACTTAATCCCCACAACAATTCTATGAGGGCTGTATTATTATTAGGCTCACCTGGCAAACGAGGAGACGGAGGCTTGGAGAAATCAAGTAGCTGGCCCCAGGCTACAGAGTGTAAGTGCGGGAGCTAAGACTCAGAGAGTGACTCTAAGTTCACACTTAAAGACTGTAATGGACATTATCTTCCACCAACTTCTCTTCCCAACAGATGAACTGGGCATCAGGGCACTGATCCTATTCTAAAAAGACTTGAGTGGGTGCCCAAAGCTGCACTTTCCCCTCACTCCTTGCCGACATTTTTCGTTTTAATAAACTTTACTTTGGATAATTCTAGATTTAGAGAAGAGTTGCCAAGATAGCAGAGAGAGTTGCCATATACGCTTCTCCAGGTTCCCCTACGTTACCTAATCATAGTATCTCCGTCAAAACTAAGAAATGGGGGTGCCTGGGTGGCTCAGTCGATCAAGCATCTGCCTTAGGCTCAGGTCATGATCCCGGCGTCCTGGGATCCAGCCCCGCATTGGGCTCCCTGCTCAGCGGAAAGTCTGCTTCTCCCTCCCCTCTCCCTCTCCCCCTGCTCTTGTGCTCTCTCTCTCTAATAAAAAAACAAAACAAAAGAAAACTAAGAAATGAATGGTGGCACATTACTATCAACTGAATAATAGACTTTATGTGGATTTCACCAGTTTTCCCACTCATGTCCCTTTTCTGCTTAGGATGCCACTTGGCATTTAGTCTGGGACTTAACAAGACGTAGAGTCCAGTGGGAAGGAAGCTGAGGAGGAGGCTGAACGGTAAGCAGAGTGAAGCGAGGCTGAGCAAGGCACAGAACTGCTCCCAAGTTTCCCAGGGGGAGGAGAGACTCACCGGGCCGGTCATCTTGCAGGTGGCATGCTCATGACACCCACTGTTGAGGCCATCGGCGCAGGGGTCTATCTCTGTGCAGCTGTGGCCGTCCCCCTTGTAGCCCTTCAGGCAGCTGCAGGACACCTTTGTGCCCTTCTGGGAACACCTGGCCACCTTCGCACAGCCCCCGTTGTTCTGTTTGCAGAAATCCACAACTGCAGGAGCAGAGGGGAGAGGGCTCATTGAACCACTGTCTGTAGAATGTGGGCTTCAGACGGGGGCATGGGTCACCCTGGGATGAGTGGCATTAGGAAGAAAATGGGCCCCAGCGTGTTGGGGTCTTCTCTCCCCATTCCCTATAGCCCCTGGGCTAGCCTTTGCGAACACTAGAATCCTGCGGCTGATAGCCTCCGAGACCAGGCCTGATGACCCCTGTGCACCTCTGACCCCCTTTGTCACATACCTCTAGGCTCCACTTCGGTAGTTTTTGGAGTGAGTTTGGGTTTTTAATGTTAAGACAGTTGTGTGTGTGTTTGCGTGCGTGTGTGTGTGTGTGTGTGTAGTTATGGTACTCTTGAGCACTTCATGAGATGGGCATCGTTGCCCCCATTCTACAGATGAACAAACTGAAACCCAGAGAGTTTAACTGACCTGACAAAGGCAAAACGGTGATTATGTGGTGGGCCTGGGATTTAAACTTGGTTTGGCTTGGTTTGACCCCCAAAGCCCATGCTTTCCCCACTGTGTTGTGCTACTCGATAGGACCTTTGTTTTCACGATCTCCCAAATTTCAACCCAATACTAGATTAGCTCTAGCCTCAGGAGCAGCAGGGAAGCCATCTGATGTCTCTTGCCTGGCTTTTGCCTGGAGTCATGGCAGCTGCTTGAGATTTTGAGAGAATAAACATGAGGACAAAAGGCCTCATCCTAAGGAGAGCAGAGTGGAGAGAGAGAATCTGGGTCTTTGCTGCGGTTGTTGACCAGTGACCTAGTTCTGGACTGCTTTGTAGCAGATTACAAAACAGCAGGTATAGTGAGATCTCATTTCTGTAAAGAAACTATGTATCTTTATTTGCATATTTATTCATGAAAAAGTTAGCAAGTACATGTGGCATAGACTGGTAGGTTTCTCCCAATATCTATTGTCTCCTTTTTCTTTCTTTTTTTTT